GCGCACCCGGGATCCGAACCCGGGCCGCCGGCAGCGGAGCGCACGCACTTAACCACTAAGCCACGGGGCCGGCCCCCATCATGGAGGGTCTTACAATGTCTGATAGCAAGACAGGCTGTCAGCTACGTGAAAAGTCTCTTCTCTTTCCTTTTCTCAGTAGAGTTATTCTTTATACATTTATTTATTCAGGAGAGTTCTCCATGTTAAATTACCAGTGGGGTAGCACCAACATGACCATCCCCGGTCTGGTCCTCATTTCCCAGGGGAATCCCGCCTGGCAGGTTGGCAGGAGTAGTGAATTAACTTGGTCGGTGTTTGTAGAATGGGTATGCACCATGTCAAATTCTGAGGGTAGAGAGTCTGAATGAGGAGAGAGAGAGTGACCTCACATAAATCAGATCACCATTGAAGGCCTAATAAACTTTCTCCAAGTGCCTGCAGCCCACATCAGTGCCATGAAAAGAGACTCCATGAGAAGGACATCTGAGAAGTTCTCTGGGTGATGAGGAATTAGAGTTGATAAATTCAAACACTCCCTAGTCCCAACTGTTAGTGCCCTACTGTAAGCACCAGAATGCTCTCCATACATTCTAATACATTTTGAAAGCAGAGCATTTTTTTGTTTACCTTTTCTCATAAATGATCCATTCTTCTCATCTAAATACCGACCATGCAGGAGGGAATAATTGGACATCTTGTTTTCTCTCATGATCTGAAAGGAGCTATTCTTGAGGAGTGAGTTCAGTTCTTCTGGTTCTAATTTCTTGCCCAGGAATTGGCAGATCTTCTCTACAGTGCTTCTTGTGTCCTAGAAGAAAAAAAAACAAGAGAGAGGATGTGAAAGAGAAGCAGCATAGAAAAGGAGTTGAAAAGCAGGAAACAGCAGTGTGAGGACAAGGAGTAGAGGCAGAGGAACTACATGAGAAGTGAGAAGCGATTGGTTGGATGTGACTAGGAGGAATTAAGGGAAAAGCTAAAGACAGAGGAGCACAGAGGATGTAAAAGATGCAGGATGCACATGGATTTCCCAGTATGGTGGACTTCATGACACCTTAACACTAAATACAGGGCCTGGGTTCTCTAAACAGACTTTCAGGAAGTCTTCTAGACAATTATGATCAAGATTAAGCAAAGAGAGGTTCAGTGAGAACTTGACAAATGTTGAAGGGATTGATTTCAAACACTGGCTGTGCCATGAATCAATACCGTTGTCCATAATTAACATTGGAATAACACAGAGAGTTTCACAATATCTTCACACATATTATCTCAATAACTAGTACTTGGCACACTATCCTGGGATATTATTACCAGAAAATGGATTTTATAACCATGAAGACTTTGCTGTAAATCATAGACCTTCCTCGTAGAGCTACAATGCTTTAAAAAATTTCTTCATCCCATGAGCCTTCATTATGATCTAACCAGAAAGCACACAACCGTAGCAATGACTTCAATAAATATTCATTTTGTGCTTGAAAGCATAATTACTGCAAGGTATGGGAGCATGTACCTGAGGTAGCCAAGCTCGTTACAAAAGGCTTCTTGGTAAAAATGAAGTTCATGTGGAGGTCATGCAGGATTAGACAGAGGTAGCCAGAGGATCATGATGGGAAGTAATGTGTCTCAGAAGCAAAAGCCTATGTTTATGTTATTTTCTCTTTTCTCCATGGCACCACTAATAGGTAAAGTTCTTCTTCCCATGTTTTAATGACCCTTACTGGTTTTGAGCATCATCTCACAGCTTTTCCTGCTCATCACAGCTCAATCTAGTACTTGGCACGGCAGAATAATTACACAGACTGATTTCATGACTTTGTCTTTCTTCTATCAGTCAATCTGGGATGCCAGACAGTTGGACACATGTCTGGAACCAAACTTGTTTCTACCCAGTCCCACCTTCTTCCTCAGTCCCCTCCCACCACTAGGTTATCAGCAGCATCATATGTCCAACCTCTAAAGATTTTACAAACGTTGCCAATGTGAGCATAAGCCATTTTCCTCTGTCTCAGTGCATGAAAAAAGACCTTTAGATGTTGTTAAGATGAAACAAAAAAGAACACATGAATGAAGAGAGCATGGAGCTTGGGTTATGTCAACCAGAAGTATGGCAAAGAAAATAAGGAGTTGTTTTCACTCCTCATGACCCATCACACGGCTAACCTTTGACTGAGAAGGTGGAATAGAGACACAGAGGAATGGAGGGAAGTTAGAGGGAGTGAAGGTGGTGGTGAAAGGATGTGTGCTAACCATAAGAACAATAGTTACCCGTTTCAGCTCTTCATAACTCAGTATCAAGAAGTTCTCCTTCCTTTTCATGGACACCCAGCCATGAGTGTGGTCAAACCAGGATCCATACGGCACTGCATATTGGGGAGGCAGGAAGAGGGGGTCGATTACAAAGTCTATGAAAGCAGGGATCCATCTATCATATTCACTCTTGTGGGAACAGTTAATAGCACAACGTCTGGCACATGTAGGCCTGTCCTAAGAATTTGCTGAATAAATGAGAGTAAAGATGTAAAACTATTATCCAACATCATGCAATTACCCTGTAAATACCGTTGTTTATTTGGAGCAGGCTCTGTACCTAGTTTTCAAGGGTGTCTAAGGGGATCCTGTCCAGAGAGCCATGTGGCCTGAGGAATGGTATTTTTTGCTGCCTCAAATCAGTTTAATGTTTAGAAATTTTGGTTGATAGGTCATTCCTACAGCCCTTGAAGATATTTTTCTCTCTTCTTGCTGTCACTGATGCTATTACAATTATTGTTCCTTTGGAAATTATCTGTCTTTCCTTTGGTTTAAAGTTTTCTTCCCTTTTTGCTACTACAGCTTTCCTAGAGACTAGGCAAAGATTTCTTTGTAATAATTCTTTGTGAGGTTAGATTTGGTTCTTCAAACTGAGACTTCATTAATGGAGGAAATTCTTAGGCATGTCTCCTTGAAAATTTCCTTTCTCTATATTTCATTTTATCTTAGAATGTAAATCTTCTCACTCTATCCTCAATGTCTTAACTACTTTATTCTCTTCAATGGCTATCTACCATGCCTAAGCACTTCTTAACTCCAAATGTAGTGGAAAATTAATTATCAACTGAGAATTCTACTTCGTTAAACTATCATTCAAGAATGAGCATAAAGGAGACATTTTCAGGCAAAATACTGAGAGAACTTACCACTTTTGTTATGATAGAACTAGGCTAAGTTATACTTTATGAGTAAATAAAGTGAATCCAGGAGGAAGGAACAATCAATGAGTCAAGAGGAAATCCAAAGGTAAATAAAAAATATCATGACACAAACAAAAATGGAAGCACAATATATCAAAACTTATGGTTGCAGCCAGAGCAGTTCTAAGAGGGAATTTCATAGCTTTACACACCTACATTAAGAAAAAAATACTCAAGTAAAAAATTTAACTTCACAACTCAAGGAACTAAAAAGAGAAGAACAAACTAATCTCAAAGTAGGCAGAATTAAGTAAATAACAAAGATCAGAGCAGGAAAAAAATGAAACAGTGACAAGAAGAAAATAGAATAGATTAACAAAAATAAGACCTTGTTTTTTAAAAAGATAAATAAAATTGAGAAACCTTTAGCTCGATTAAGAAAATTCCGAACAGACTCAAATAATTAAAACATGAAGGAAGAGGCACTACAACTATTGTCACAGAAATACAAAGGATCATAGCAGATTACTATGAACAATTATATGCTAACAATTTGGATAACCTAGAAGAAATGCATAAATTCCTAGCAACACACAACCTATGAAGACAGCGTCATGAAGAAATAGAAAATCTGAATTGTCCAATAGAAAGTAATGAGATTGAATCAGTAATCAAATATTTCCCCAAAAAGAAAAGCCCCGGACCAGATAGTTTCCTGGTAAATTCTAGCAAACCGTTAAGGAAGAATTAAAACCACTTCTCCTCAAACTTCCAAAAAATTGAAGAGGAGGGAACACTCTCCAACCCTTTTTATGAGGTCTGCATTTCAGCGATACAAGGGCCAGATAAGGACACTATAAGAAAGGAAAACTACAGCCCAATATTCCTGATGAATATAGATGCAAAAATTCCAAACAAAATATTAGCAACCTCAATTCAAGAGCACATTAAAAGCATCATACATCATGGGATGCAAGGATGGTTCAACATATGCAAATCATTAATGTGATACACCACAGTAACAGTAAGAAGGATAAAAATCATATGACCGTTTCAGTAGATGAAGAAAAAGCAACCTTCCCATGTTAAAAATTCTCAACAAATTAGGTAGAAAAGGAGTGTTCCTTTCTCATCATAAAAAAGGTCATATATGAGATGTCCACAGCTAACACTATACTGAACGGTGAAAAATTAAAAGCTTTTCCTCTACGATTAGGAAAAAGACAAGGATGTCCACTGTCGCCATTTCCATTCAGCAGAGTTCTAGAAGTCCTGGCTACAGTAATTAGGCAAGAGAAAATCCAAATCAGAAAGGACGAAGTAAAATTATCTTTATTTGCAGATGACATGATCTTATATGTAAAAAACCTCAGAGACTCTGCCAAAACCTGGTAGAACTAATAATTGAACTTAGTAAAGTCCCAAAATATAAAATCAACACACAGAAAACAGTTGTGTTTCTACACACTAACAATGAACTATTTGAAAGAGAAATTAAGAAAGCAATCCCATTTACAATAGCAGTAAAAACAATAAAATACTTTGGAATAAATTTAATCACTGAGGTGACAGACCTGTATGCTGAAAACTATAAGACATTGATTAAAGAGATTGAGAAGACACCAATTAATGGAAAGATATCCTGTGTTCTTGGATTGGAAGTATTAATATTGTGCCAATGTCATACTATCCAAAACAATCTACAGATTCAGTGCAATCCTCATCAAAATTCCAATGGTATCCTTCTCAAAAGTAGAAAAAAGAAATCCTAAAACTTGTATGAAAGCACAAAAGATCTCAAATAGACAAAGCAATCCTGAAAAAGAAGAAGTATGCTGGAGGCATCACACTTCCTGATTTCAAGCATTAATACAAAGCTATAGTTATCAAAACAGTATGGTACTGGCATAAAAACAAGCACACAGACAGGTGGAACAGAAGAGAGAGTCTATACATAAATGTGCACGTAGACGGTCACCTCATTTTTGTCAAGTGCACTAAGACACACAATGGGGAAAGGATAGTCTCTTCAGTAAACGGTGCTGGGAAAACTGGATATCCACGTTGAACAAGAATGAAACTGGACCCCTATCTTACACCACTCACAGAAATTAATGCAAAATGGATCAAAGACTGACATGTAAGACCTGAAACCATAAAAATCCCAGAAAAAAAACATAAGAAAAAGATCCTTGATGTTGGATTGGCAATGATTTCTTGGCTAATCACCAAAAATACAGGCAACAAAAGCTAAAACAAACAAGTGGGACTACATAAAACTAAAACGCTTCTGCACAGCAATGGAAACAATCAGTAATCTGAAAAGACAACATATGGGATGTGAAAATGTATTCGCAAACTATGTATCCGATAAGGGGTTAATAACCAAAATTTAAAGAACTCATACAACTTAATATTAATAAAGCAAATAGTCCAATTAAAAACTGGGCAAAGGACATGAATAGATATTCTTCCAAAGAAGACACACAAATGGCTAGTAGGTATATGAAAAGGTGCTCAACATCACTGATCATCAGAGAAAGGCAAATCAAAACCACAGTGAGACATCACATCACAGTTGTTAGAATAGCTGTTATCAAAAAGATAATAGACAACAAACATTGGCGAGGATGTGGAGAAAAGGGAATCCTCTATACACTGGTGGTAGGAATATAAATTAGTACAGCCATTATGGAAAACAGATGGCAATTCTTCAAAAATTTTAAGACAGAACCACCACAGGATCCAGCAATCCCATTCCCGGGTATATATCTGAAGGAATTGAAATCAGTATCTTGAAGAGATATCTGCACACTCATGTTCATCTCAGAATTATTTCAGCATTATTTACAATAGTTAAGATAAGGAAACAACCTAAATGTCCTTTGATGGAGGAATGGATAAAGAAAATATGTATATATACTTGAATATTATTCAGTTATTAAAAAAAAAGGAAATCCTGTTATTGGCGACAAACATGGGTGAAACTGGGGAGCATGATGCTAAGTGAAATATGTCAGACAGAGAAAGACAAATACTGTATGTGTCACTTCAATGCATAATACAAGAAAAGCAGATTTCAGAGAAACAGAGAATAGAATGGTGGCTGCTAGGGGGTGTGGGGAGAAGGAAATGGGGAGATATAGGTGCAAAGGTACCAATTTTCAGTTATAAGAAAAATAAGGTCTGAGGATCCCATGTACAGCACGGTAACTGTAGTCAATAACTCAGTATTATGTACTTGAAAGTTGCTGAGAGTAGATCCTAAGCAGTCTCAGCACACACACACAAAGACCTAACTATGTCAGGCAATGAGTGTGTTAATTATCTTGATCTTGGTAATCATTACACAATGTACAGGTATATCAAATAATCACCTTTAAATATATCCAACTATATCTGTCAATTCTTTCTCAATAAAGTTAAAAAATAACAGGTTTGAATGATTACAAAATTAAAGTACAAGCAAGTATTACCACTATCATCACTTCTATTCAACATTGTCCCATCCCCCTGGACAATGAGGTAAGAGAAGAAAAAATAAAGAAAACATATGTGTAGTAGAAATGAAGAAAAAATAGTCATTCCTTAAAGTTTGTATTTATACTTTATAGAAAATCAGAGAGAACCTACAGGGAGAGAATGAGAATTAAGAAGAGAATTCATTCAGATTGGTAAATAACTGATCAATATTCAAAATCAGTTACATCCCCAAATCAGGCACAAACAACTGGAAAACGTAATTTTAATATGTCATTAATCTAGAAGAAATGAAATACATCTAAAATAGAGTTGCAAGCTTTTTATAGCAAAAAAATCATAAAAGATCATATAAGACATCAAAAAAGCTTTAGCTAAAAGGAGGCATAAACAATGTCTATAAATGAAGAGATAAACTAAGTGAAATATACCAATTCTCCACTAATTATTCTGTAAAATTACTAAAGCGACAATCATAAAAATACTGACAATAATGAGTGTCACTGAGGATATGGAATAACATGGACTTTCATATGCTATTTTTGGGAGTATAGATTGATACATCCGCTCTGGATAATCATTTAATATTATCTTTTAAAATTGTAAATTCAGCTTCTTTGTGCCTTAGCATTTCTACACTCAGGTATATAAACCAG